TTTAGATGTACTCCCCAACCTTCTTGATTGTTGATACTGCTGATGGAAGATACTGTTCCAAGCTTTTCTCATAAGGAAGATCTGTTCTTCATTACTGCCTTTAACTTACTCCATTTACTTGCCAGGATTTTTCTAGGAGCTACAGCTTCCAGCTAGATCTGTTTCTGTCTGAACCAGTTTCCCTTAAAAACTGATAATGCATTTTAGGCCATGATAGAAAATGGATAAGCTCTTTCTACAGCTTTTCTTTTGCTGTAGTAAGTGACTTAATTAATCCTAAAGAAGAAACTCCACATTGAAGTTTTGGCTTCTGAGCATGTCCCAAGCCTAAGCAGAAGGCTTTAGGGAATGCAGTAAGATACTGTGGAGCTGCAGGAAGGTGTCAAGGAATATCTATGTAGCTTCTCAGATGCAACAGTTAACAGGGTAGGCATCTCTGAAACATCTGACTGCCAATTTTCTTTAATAACCACTCATGAATCTAAACGCTATAAACTTGCATGTTTCAGAAATTTGTACCTAACCTTTACAACACATTTTAAGGCAGTGAGTTCCATAATTTAATAGAAAGCTTATATAAAGTGCTTTATTTTAAATCTATTCTTATAATTTACTTGGATGAGATTTGATTTTGTGTTAGGAAAAATAATGAATATAGCATCTACTCTAAAGCACTCATTTAGAGACTATCCTCTCTCTTTCTTAGTGTATTTGTGTTTGTGTGTTTTTGTTTTGGTTTCATTTTGGAAGGAGTAGGTTATTTTTTTTTTTTTTTTAAAAACTAGAGAAGCTACTTAGTGTTTAACATTTTTTCTTCCACTTACCAGTGTCACCACAGAAGCAGGGAGAAAGGACCAATGAAGCATTTGAGCTTTGTAATATTATTAATAAATGAAAGGATAGCAGAATACAAAGTATTTTAGAGCAACTGAAGAAAAAAAGCTAGAAAGCAAGGCCAAGAAATTAAGCTATTTGAATAATTAATTAAAAATACTCTAAGGTAAATATGTATAGATTAGTCAAACATTAGAATTAGACTTTGAAAAATGGAGGTCAGTTGAGCAAGTAGTATAAAACAAAAAAAAAGTCAAAGTTCATGCACAACAGCACACACTGGGATCTATACGCATGCCTAATCACCAATTGTGTGGGTAAAGTGAACAGCATTCACTCAAAACCACACAAGGCATAGTGATTTTTTTGCTTAATATTATGTAGGGCTAAAAAGGACAATTATTCTAGAACTTAGATTGGTCGCTCGCTCCTCCCCTATGTGTCCTTCTATCATCTTGTACGTTCATCATGTGAAATGCTCTGTCGAGTCCTCTTCAGGACTTTCATAGTAATTTTTAGTAGTTGCAAGACCTAACTGCAAAAAATAGCCTGATTTCAGTCATTGCATTAAGTTTCTTTATCTAAGAAGTTGAGGACAAATGCCTACTACCGGTGGTGGAGAGCCCAACTAGAGGAGAGGCACCACTGGAGCTGTCGCTCACTAATGTGGAAGAGCGTTTTGAAGAGGTTAACACTGGAGGGGTAGCCTGGGCTGCAGCAATCATGCCCTGGCAGAATTCTCAATCTTGAGGATTACAGGATGAGTAAAAAGTGGAGTCAGGACCTTAAACATCAGAAAGGAAAACTTTCAGCTGTTTAGGGTGATGGTGCCTGAGATCCCTTGGGAAACTACCCTCAGAGGTGAAGGAGCGAATGAGAGCTAGGAGATATTTAAAGACATTTTTCTTAGGGTGCAAGAGCTCTCAATCCTCATGTGCAAAAAGTTAGGCAAAGGAGGGAGGATGCCAGCTTGGCTAAGTCAGGACCTCTTAGCCAAACTAAAAACACAAAACCAAAACACATAGGCAGTGGAGGTAGGGATATACATCCTGGGGAGACTACAGGGATGTGACCCAAGAGTGCAGAGAGGGGATCAGGAAAGTCAAGGCATAACTGGACCTGAACATGGCTAGGGATGTGAAAAGTAAAAAGGGTTTCTTCAGGTACATAGGACAACAAAGATAAAAAAACCCTATACCCCCCTGATGAGTGAAATGACAAACCTGACTAAAACAGGCATGGGGAAAGCTGAGGTACTCAACTTTTTTGTCTCAGACTTCACTGGCAAGTGCTCTAGGCATACCGTCCAATTCACAGAATCCAAAGGCAGGGGCAAGAACAAAGTAATGACCATGTAGATCAGGTTTGACATCATCTAAGGAACCTGAATGTGCACAAGTCCACAGGACCTGATGAGATGTGTATGGGGTTTCCATGGCAAGATTTTGGTAGCAGGTTGGTGCTACAGGGGTGACTTCCGCAAGAAGCTGCTAGAAGCTTCCCCTATGTCTGACAGTGACAATGCCAGCCAGCTCCAAGACAGATCCACTGTTGGCCAAGGCTGAGGTCATCCGTGATGGTGGCAGTGCCTTTGTGATATTTAAGAGTGGGTAAAAAAATCTTCTGTGGAGCAGGAACCAGGAGAGTGGAGTGAGGATCTGTGAAACGAACAACTCTGCAGACACCGAGTCAGCAGAGAAGGAGGGGGAGGAGGTGCTCCAGGCACCGGAGCAGAGATTCCCCTGCAGCCCCTGGTGAAGACCATGGTGAGGCAGGCTGTGCCCCTGCAGCCCAGGGAGGTCCATGGTGGAGCAGAACCCCACCTGCAGCACGGGGAGGACCCCACACAACAGCAGGTGGATGCCCAAAGGAGGCTGTGACCCCGTGGGGAGCCCACGCTAGAGCAGGATCCTGGCAGGACCTGTGGACCCACAGAGAATAGCCCACACTGGAGCAGGTTTTCTGACTGGACCTGTGACCCCGTGGAGGACCCACGGTGGAGCAGCCTGTTCCTGAAGGACTGCACCCTGTGGGAGGGACCCACATTGGAGAAGTTCATGAAGAACTGGAGCCTGTGGGAAGGACTCACGTTGGAGAAGTTGGTGGAGGACTGTCTCCTGTGGGTGGGACTCCACACTGGAGCAGGGGAAGAATAAAGGAGGAAGGATTGCCAGAGATGTGTGATGGACTGATCACAACCGCCATTCCCCATCTCCCTGGGCTGCTGTGGGTGAAGATGTAGAGAAAAATGGGAATGAAGTTAAGCCTGAGAAGAAGGGAAAGGTGGGTAGAAGGTGTTTTAAGATTTGGCTTTATTTCTCATTACCCTACTTTGATTTGATTGGTAATAAATTAAATTACTTTGCCCAGGTCAAGTCTGTTTTGCCCATGATGGTAAATGCTGAGTGATCTTCCTGTCCTTACCTTGAGCCACGAGGCTTTTGTTATATTTTCTCTCCCCTGTCCAGCTGAGGAGTGGAGTGGTAAGAGCAGCTTTGGTGGGCACTTGGTGTCCAGCCTGGGTCAACCCACCACAGATGTATCCATGGGTCCTGAGGGAACTGGCAGATAAAGTGGCTAAACTACCATCCATCATATTTGAGAAGCCATGGCAGTCTGTTGAAGTTTCCAGTGACTGGAAATGGGGAAATATAACTCCCATTTTTAAAAAGGGAAATAAAGGCCAGGCAGTCTCACCTCTGCAGCTGGCAATATCATGGAGCAGATCCTCCTGGAAACTATGCTAGGGCACATGGAAAATAAGCAGGTGATTGGTGACTGCCAACATAGCTTCAATAAGGGCAAATCATGCCTGACAAATTTGGTGGCCTTCTACAACAGGGTTACAGTTGGTGGATAAGGGAAAAGCAACTCATGCCACCTACCCGGACTTGTGCAAAGCTTCTGACACTGTCCTGCACAACATCATTTTCTCTAAATTGGTGAGACATGGATTTGACAGATGAACCACTTGGTGGATTGTCGCACTCAAATTGTTGTGGTCAGTGGTTCGATGTCTGAGTGGAGAGCAGCGACGAGTGGAGTTCCTCAGGGGTCGGTGTTCGGACCGGCGCTGTTTAACATCTTTGTTGGTGACATGGGCAGTGGGGTTGAGGATACCCTCAGCAAGTTCACTGACAACACCAAGCTGTGTGGTGCAGTCGACACTGGAGGGCAGGGATGCCATCCAGAGGGACCTGGACAAGCTTGGGAAGTGGGCCCGTGCAAACCTCATGAAATTCAACAAGGCCAAGTGCAAGGTCCTGCACACGGGTTGAGGCAATCCTAAGCACAAATACAGGCTGGGTGATGAGTGGATTGAGAGCAGCGGAGAAGGACTTGGGGGTATTAGTGAATGAAAAACTGACTCTGAGCCAGCAATGTGCACTCGCAGCCCAGAAAGCCAACCATGTGCTGGGCTGCATCCAGAGAAGCGTGACCAGCAGGTCAAGGGAGGGGATTCTGCCCCTCTACTCCACTCTTGCGAGACCCCACCCGGAATACTGTGTGCAGCTTTGGAGTCCTCAGCACAGGAAAGACCTGGATCAGTTTGAGTAGGTGGTGGGTGCAGCATCTCCCCTATGATGACAAGCTGATAAAAGTTGGGGTTGTTCAGCCTGGAGAAGAGAACGCTCTGGGGAGAGGTTAGAGCAGCCTTCCAGGACTTAAATGGGGCTACGGGAAAGATGGGGAGGGACTCTTCATCAGGGGGTGTAGTGATAGGACAAGGGGTAATGGTTTTAAACTGAAAGAGTGTAGATTTAGATTGGATCTAAGGAAGAAATTCTTTCCTGTGAGGGTGGTGAGGCACTGGCACAGGTTGCCCAGAGCAGCTGTGGCTGCCCCCTCCCTGGAAGGGTTCAAGGCCAGGCTGGATGGGGCTTTGAGCAACCTGGTCTGGTGGAAGGTGTCCCTGCCCGTGGCAGGGGAGAGCTGCTAACTAGATGATCTTTAAGGTCACTTCCAACCAGAACCATTCTATGATTCTATGCAAACCTTTAGTTTTCTATGAACTGAAAAATCATTAAAGTTTCTAACTCAATAAACTGAAATCTGGTTAATAAAAGCCATATTTTATTTCCCAAGTTTAGAGCCACTATGGATATGCAAGAGTACAATTCTGCTCACTCATGAACTACAATAATGAGGGCTACAGAAAAGCAGAGTAGGGTGACAGAATGGTAACTTTTATTCGGAACACAACTGTCCATTGACATTACAGAAACTGTTGAAATCAACAGAACAGAGATCTGTTACAAGCCTTGATAAACTAGATCTGAAAAATTGAAGACAGATGCTATTAGGCAATATGGCATAACACAATATGGGCTGTTTGGGAAGCATGCAGTTGTAGCATTGCACAGTCGGCATCTGCAGCCCTTCAGCTTTCCAAAGTGTTTATCTTAAAGCCAATAAATTTGATTGCAAAGGCATGGGGAAAAAAGCAAACAACAAACAAAAATCAAAACCCAAACCACATTCCTGAGATGATACCTCACTGCTAGTTCCAAATTTTTGCAAGGCCATGTATAGGAGGAGCTAAGTTACTTAAAATTTTGTCTCCACAGACTACAAAAAAATACTAAAGGAAAGTGAGAAGACTTAAAGCAATCAAAGATATGAACATAAAATAAAAAAGTCATGTGTAAAAAGATGATTTTGAAAGTAAGAAGGGCGGTTAAATGTCCTTACTTTGTCTATTAACTGAATTTGCATCTTACTAAAACATCTGATAAAACCTTCCACAACACAGCTCTTCGCATCACTTGCCATAAACTGTAACTGTGAATAGTCAGAATTGAAATTTTTGTGTTTTTTCCTATCTGATACTGATAAAATGTACATTTTACTACATTAAAACATAATAAACCAAAATCCCCCAAGAAAAGGTTGCTAATATCAAAAAAGCTTATCTTAAACCATAGGTACATCTTAGCCCCCAAGTAAGAGTACAGGTGACTTGTTTTGTTTTAAAGAGAACCTGCAGATCACGCTACATATGAAAGGCTTCTAGGCGAATTCTGTACGGATCTTCCGGATGTCTCAGGGCAATTCCGTATCGCAGCAGCAGTTCTATATAAGGTGGCCAAAAAGAGTCACTGATTTTTACATAGGGTTCATGTGGTGTTTTCACTAATTTGTTTATAAGAACCTGGAAGACCAAAAGGATAAGATTTAGAGAATTAACAAAACAGCTAGATCTTTATCTCCTTTAACCAAATTTATACAAATTATTATAATGAGACACTTACGTAGGCAATATAAGAAATACAAGACTACAGGAAAAATAAAAGACCCCTTCAAAGTAGAAGTAAACCGAAGAATTCCTACTTAATTTCGTTACATCTTTTTTGATGTAAAAATTAGTACCAGAATTCTCCTTTTATCCAGACTAAGTTTTTCATTGTTTGTCAAAAATTCTTGGTGGATTTTAGTTCCTTGGTGAAACTGTAAATGCCTAAAAATCTGAACATGAACATAATAAATCCTTATATAATTTTTCAAATCAGTATCTGTTAATTTAAGATTAAGCATTAAATAGGAAGGAAGGCTAGATTTTTGGGAATCACTTGCCTCAAAACCGTAATGACTTACTGTCAACAAATAGTATTTCTCCCTCACTCTTTCAGATTTTAGCAGAGAAGAATGTCCATCTTACAGTTTTTCTAAATTTCATCTCACTAATAAGCTAAAAAAAAAATACCCGTCTTCTTAGATTGGGAAGAATTATTTTTCCTGTATTTTGTGTCCTTCTGTAGGTAGTGTTAGAAACAAGTAAGTTTGCACCTGTGAACAGCTGAACATCATCATCCTACCTTCACTCTATTTCAACACCAAATCTTTTTGCTCATCTAATAAATGAACCCTCCAAATTCTTAATATAATTTCTTTTGGGGCATGACAAGCACCTTGCAACAATTCACCTTCTCCTGATACTTCTTTACTCCTCCTTTGTTCCTTATCTAAATATAGAATTAGTTAATGGTATAAAAAACCAGCATCAGTTTTGACATTCTTTTTCTGTTACTGGAGACCATGCTTATACCCTCATAATATTGCTTATGGGAAATACTGCACATATTACAGATTAAATAATTTTAGCCATCCCATGTTGCTCTTTCTATTCATCCCAGATATTTAATCTTTCTACTTATAAATGTTATAGCTTTCCCAATTTCCTTAGGTAAAAAATATTCTATCTGCCATTTTATTGCTAAAGAAAAACTAAAAATCCTTACTACCGGACTTTACTCATTTTTCACTCATTGCTATTAAAAAAAAAAAAATACTGCTCTTCTTTTTCAGAACATTCTGAAGAATTGTTCCAGTTTATGTCTTTTGTGCTTATCTGTCAAAATCTGAGTATTTACTCTAAATGTATTATTTTAGATAAATTGTTACTTAGTATTTTTCTGACATATGATATTCTAAAATAGCCTTTATGGTTGTAACATTCATTTATATTGTAAACAGTCTTTCAAATCTTAAATTAGTTCAATAAATCCTCAATCAGAAAGGAATAATCCTCAAATTGTATAAAAGGAAAAGAATTACTATATTTGTAAAAATTACAGCTCATTACTAGAATAAAAAGTAGTATAATAAAAATTCTGAGGTTTGCATGAGAAAAGTTTGCTGCTTATTACTTATGCTAATTTATTTAAGTAGGTAATGGTATATGTAAATAACATAAATGTATATACCTAGCTTGTCAAAGTAGATTTATTAAAAATGCACATTTTCATTATTTAACAAACATATGGAGATTGAGGAGACATAGTTAGGAACACATGCACTGATTGCAATTCAGTGAATTAATTAATTTTATACAACAGCAAATCCTAAATCTGTAATTATAATGCAAAGGTGACTTTGCATTTGTTTCTTTAAGAAACTACTATCTGTATGTACAAAAACACTTTTGAAATTTAACAGGCATTTGAAGCTAGAACCAAGTTGCTCGACAAAAAACCCTCCCATTAAATAAAGATAAGGGACATCAACCGTTTATGCCAAGATAGTTAAAATGAAAAGTAAGTCTCAATTTTTGAAATAGTATGTTCTTCCAAATGGAAATGAGACTTTGTTTAGATGTGTTCACATTTTGAGGAGATTAACAATACCAGAAAAATATGAAGGGCAATTTTAAAGCCTTAGAAGAGCTTTAAAATTTTAATTCCATTGGGAATGTGGCTATTTTCAATTCTGATCTGTTTTCAAGCTCTGCCTAATTTGGCATTAACAGGCATGCTGAGTTACTTGAAGCAAGTAAAATGATTTTGATGATGTAAGCCCCAAGTATGGGCTTTAAACTAGAGTACAACAATGTCATAGTGACCAGATCATAGCGTCTTAATACCAGGAAGTTATTAGTCATCAAGTTTTCCCTCAGGAAAAAACTTTTTTCCCCAGTGAGGTCTTACACATAGATACTTAAAACTGTCTGAAGAGTAAGGATGGAGGAGGAATAGGAAATTTCACTTCAAATGTTACATTTAAGAGAAGAAGGAACAATGCTAGTGAAAAGATTTTTAATGCTCCTTCAAAATTATGCTTTGCAATTTAAATTCATAAATTGCACTGTGATTAAATACACACTAAACTATGTTGGCTTACGTATAAAATTGATTAGAAATGCATGTATCAGATTAATTGATTTCTCATATGAGAAGATAATCCAGTTAATACATGAGACTACCCATTAACTGGTCCTTCTATAACTGTTATTGTATTTCAGAGGTACTTTTATTGAAGCAGTACAAAATATAGCATGAAATGGAATGATTTTTTTTTTTTAAGCACAGCATGTCTCCCCTAGTATGAGCCAGTGAGGCTCATGAAACTTTTTTAAAATCAAGATGATAAAATTAGGAAATAAGGGATAATCATTCTCTAGTTTAAATTGAAGATTTAGCTATCTAAATAACTGCCAAATCTTTTGTGAAAAAATGGGGTTAATTTGATAGGAATTAAAATAGAAACCTGACATAACATTCTTAAACACATTCTACTTTTCACTTAACGACTATAACTGCGTGTCATATACCATTATTTATCTTACTAATATATTATGATCAGATCTGAGTATTGGAAAATCCCCCAGATGTCTACATAACAAAACCATCTTACCTCTAAAATTTCACTCAGTGATACCAGCTTTACAGATGGCTCTTCAGAAGATTTCTGCAAAGATAACCACCCCCCCAGCCAAATTAGCAAAACCCAAAACTAAGTAGTCAGGAAAAATGTTAATTGACAAAGAAAAAAACCACACAATTATTTGATTGCACAGTTCACAACAGATTAAGACTTTTAGTTAGATTTAGTTATGACAGAAGTACAAGGCAGTATTTAAATCTACCAGTTCAATATCATACACATTAAATGTAACATTTTGAAAGTTAATTATTTAAAAAGATTAATCTTAAGTGATCATAGTACATCTACCAGGGTTTACATTTAAATAAAACCAAGTACATCGTGTTTATAATGTAGTACAGTGCAAAACAGTCTATGAATATGTTAGGAAAAAATGATGTTTTTTTGTGAACCTTAGAAAAACGTTTACATTGCAATTTTGACACAGATCAAGACTTCAGTTCAAAGTGCCTTAATACATTTTTCATGATTTGCCAACGAATATTTTACTCTTACTCTGAGTTCAATTAAAAAAATTAGCCAAACTTAACAAATAGATTCATTAAAATTTTGAAAAAAAAAAAATAAAAAAGGAAAAAAGTCCTTGATAAAATATAATTAGAAAATGTTTTCATTTATAACAAGCAAATCAAGCCACTTGCCTACAAATTGACATGGATTCCTTAAACAGCAATGCTAACAAAACTGCTCGTGCTGTTTCATGGTGAACCTGACTCTTTTATTTTTCAATTTTATCATTTTTCCCCATCCACTTTACATTGAACAAAATAATATAGTACTGGCAACTGCATACTTAGCACTGCTGTTGAATATATCAACTTAAGTCCTAAGATATTAACAGATGTGCAGCACCTTATACAAACTCCACTTCTGGAACAGAAGAATACAAGCAATAAAGAAGAATTTGTGAGAGGCAAGTTCTGGCTCCTTTTTTTTCAGAAAGCCACACGGGGGACATACTTCCTGCTCCATGGAAACCTTGCAAACCACATAGCTAGGGCTCAATAATGTCTATCTTTCTGCTTTTATCTTGATACTAGGCTGAGGAAATAGAATCTACACTAAGAAGCTGCAAAAGTTTTTTTAGAGTAATCATGAAGGTACTTTGTAGCCTTGGCTGTTTTATTTCCCTGGCCAAAAATATGGCCTTATAACTTAGGTAGTGGGTTCAATATTCGTGTTTCAGAGTTGAAATTAGGTTATGACTTCAGCAATTATTAAAACTGATATACAAAGAAGAAAATCCTAAGGATATTAGTGTAAAGAGATCAGCACTCTCACAGACGTAGTAAACTTATTTTGCTAATTTGTAATATACATTGTATATGTTGTTTTGTAAAATTATATTACTTACATATTTTAAGTGTCACCAATATAATAAGTACCTCTAATTAATTAATTAATTCTTATAAAGTCACTTTTAAGCAGGATGCTTAGCATTTATTTATTTAAACTGAAAAGCACCTTCTTCTGCCTTTCATGAGATAGACTGGCATAAAAAATATTCCTCAACATATGACTTTTCATATTTCTTATTTTGGAAAAAAAAAGAATCTTTTTTTAATCAAGATTTAAAATGCAAGATAATTCTTACCTCAGTCACTACCTACACTAATGGTGTTGGGCCACGGCATGTGAAGCTAACCTGGGCTCTCACTCCCAATCCCAGATGCAGATGCCTGGTGAACGGAGGGTGGAACCAGAACACCAGGGCTGGAAGCAGTTCACGCTCCTCTGGAGCAGTGCCCTACAGGCGTCAGCCCCGCACATTTGTCCTCACGCAGAACTACTGAGAACACAAGCAGCTTCCACAAAGTGAAGCAAAAATTACTGACGCACAGTGTTCAGTGCTTCCAGAGTGTTGAACCAAACTGATAATAGATGTGAATATGTTCCCTTGAATCAATGTAGCAGCAAATTTAATTGCTAATACTGACATTTTGTTTTTTGGACACAATAAATTAAACAATATAGGTGAAAATAGCTGTTTCTCCCTCCTTCACAGTTCATCACTTAGATGCAGATTACAGGGCACCAGCACTTGAGCCACTCAGATCCAAGTGAATCAAAAGGTATAGAAGAAGCTATGATTTCACAAGGAGTATAAAGAAAGAAAAAGACTTGTCACAAAACAAACTGTGTTTAGGAGTTTAAGAAGTGCATAAATTAAATTACAACTAAAATAAGACCTTGCATGGAAATTTATCAAAATATATTTTACATTTGAATAATTAAAAAAAAAAAAAGTTAGAAGGTGAGCTCTTGTGTGCAGGAGAAGGGTTGCTTAATCCCAAACACCTTGGGTGATTATTTTTTTCTTTAGATTTCTTCAGAGGTAAAATTTCATGAAAGAGATTAAGGCAAGGTAGCTAGTAAGAATTTCTGACAGTCTGTATAACAGAGGCTGAGAAAATTCAAGCAGTTGATTTTGCTCTGAGGCAGGAGACTTTACATAAAATCTTCCTCAGAATTCTGAAACACACACATGAATTGTTTCTTATATTTAAAACACAGGTGGATATGACCATGAGCAACTCGATCCAACTTTGACACTGGCACTACCCTGATGATGGTGTTGGAATGGAAGATCTCCAGAGGTCATTTCCAGACTGTTTTTCTATGACATCAGATATATGGGAGCAAATAAATTGGTGTATCTCATTATAGGAAATATATTTTTAGGGAATAGTTAAATTTGTGATGACAGTGACCTAGTAGTTTTGTTTACAAAATTGTTTTTTAGCAGGTTCCAAAAAAGATGAAACCGAGTGGAAGCAAATATAGAAAATGGGTGTTATTAGGATAAGCCAGGGAACTGAAAAAAAATTATCTTACAGGAGAAGAACACGGAAGCTTTGCCAGTTCAATTAGCAAAACAAAGACAGAAAGAATGTAAAAGTGCTGTCTATAAATATATTGGAAGGAAAAAACACAAGAAAGAAAAAGAGCTATTCTAAGAGCAATAATGGTGTAAGAATACATAGATCTGTGTTAACATGAATAAATTTAGACTGGAAGTTAGGAGACAGGATCTAACCAGAGTACTGAGGTACTAGAATAAACCCCAATAGAAACAGTAGTAACAAAAATAATTAGTTTTAAATTGGAGCTCAATTATAATATTAAAGAAATTCTATTTTGTGGTTGTCTGAAATAACAGTGAACTGGATTAAAGAAATCATTTCTATTTCTGTATTCTTAAGCATGTCTGAAATCAAAATCACCCCCCACCTTTTTTGTAACTAGTCTTTCAAATAGTAATGGTAAAAGGTTTATTTTTCCTGAAGATTTTGAATTAATTATGCAAAATACTCCCTGACTGCCTATTTTCCCTGAAGTTTTAAAATAATTTTAGACCCAGTTTGCCTGAGCAGAAACTGATGGTTAACATTCCAAACTACACTGTAATTATAAACACTTGGCCTTATAATTGTTCCAAAAACATTGTTAGATAATTAAAATTTGTTTTGCCAAGGAAAATATGAGACTACTTGCCTAGTCCAGTAAAAAAGAAAATGGAACAATTTGGAGTGAACCCCTCAGCATTTCCAAATTTGGCACAACTTGCAGTTCAGTAAGAAATACAATACATTGCTATGCATCTCATTGGGTAAAGGATATATGCATTAAAAAAGAAAATATCCAGCTGGAAACAGCCTTAAATAATATAAACCAACATGAAAAATATCAATTAAACCTAAGGAAGCAGCTGTTAAAACTATACTTATTTCAAAATATAAGTGCAGATTCTATGCTAGTGGATTTAAAAAGATACTGCATCTACTTGAATAGAAATTGAAAATTCCAAATCTAATAGTTATTAAGCAAATCTTACCTTTTTATTACTTCCACCACTCTCTGGAACAGGAAAATGTTCTTGTAGGAATTCACACAGACGATCTAAGAGGTTTTGCTTATACCTCTTTAGTTTCAACTCTTTATTTTGCAGTTCCTGAACTGATCTAATATTCAAATGAATAGTAAAAAAAATAGCAACAGAATATGAAATTCAATAAAATAATGAAAAAATTGTTTTTAAGTAAAAAAATTCCTTATTTTCTATTGTTACAAGTTTAATGTCTTGAATCACAGGATGTAAGCAGATAGTAGCATTATTTTCCATGTTTCAAATATGGATTACTGAGTTATTATTTGATCTATTTAACAAAGCAAGGAGTATGTTTTAAGAGTTTGTTTGCTTCTTTGCTCTTGTTGATATTTAAATTCTTCAATGCTGTCCTGGCTTTGGCTGGGATAGAGTTAATTTTTCTTCTGAGTAGCTAGAACAGTGCCGTGCTTTGGATTCAGTATGGGATTTGGTATGAGAAGGATGCTGATAATACACTGATGTTTTCAGCTGTTGCTGAGATCAAGGACTCCCCAATTCCCCACGTCCTGCCCGTGTACAGGTGCACAAGGAGCTGGGAGGGAGTACAACCAGAGCACCAGACCCAAGCTGGGCAATGAAATATTCCATATCATGTAATGTCCTGCTCAGTACATGAAGGAGGGCCAGTCGGCAATGAGGGGGTTCTCTCTTGCTTTTGGGATTGTGATTACAGGATCTTGGCTTCTCTGGGATTGCTAGCCAAGAATGGGCTGGGTGTTAGTTCCTGCATTGTGCATTACCTGTTTGTACTTTCTATTATTTTTATTGCTTCATTTTATTTCTATTTTTAAACTTTTTATCTCAACCTATGAGTCTCTCTTTACTCTCCTATTCTTTTCCCCTTTCGACTGGGTGGGGGGATAGTGAGCAAGTGGCTGTGTGGTGTTTGGCTGCCAGCTGGGTTTAAACCACGTTAATCCTTTCTGGCACCCAACGTGGTGCTCAAAGCATTGAGATAATGACAGATCTGGCCAGAGCATACTGCAACGAATTTGTTATAAGCATTCATTATATTGGTTTAACAGCTGCTGGTCATAATGTTGGTTTATTGGCTCCTAGAGTTGTGGTACTTGTTCTTAGAGTTGTGCTATGCATCACGTCACTTGCTGTGCACAGTCCCTGTGCTGCTGTTTATCACCTGTGGGAGGTGAATTAAGATTTTTGCTTTGCTGTACTATGTAACACTGATTTATGGCATGATAAAGTTATTGGTCCCGAGACTAGTCTGGTATTTGTACTCACCATGGTCGTCACCTCTGTACTTTGGGGGTCATCTAGTGGAAAGGGTTAACAATTACACCTTTTACCTTTCCTCCTCAGAGAGCAAATCCATGGGGGAAACACCTCCCCTCACCTTCCCCTTCTCCTCCAGGGTACTTACAACAGCCTTTAATAATTTTGAAAATTTTGAATATCCTTGGAATGTTGAAACTAACATGGCTGTCTCACCACTGGGAGCCAGAGCGTTCCTGCATGAGGTTCAGGTTTTGTTCGGGGCTAAACAACTATTTAAGAGTATCACCTGGAAAGCTACAAGTGGCAGGGGGTGTGGGATAGTACGGTCAAGTACCTAGGTCAGTGGGCATCTCCATTGTTTTGGAACTTCACTGCTGAACAAGTGCAGAATCCCAGAAAACTATTGAAATATTTGGAAAATGTATGCTGTCACCCTGGTAATTCCAGAGAGACACAAATCACTGCAAGGTGCTGGGGCCTGGCCCATGTCTACCGAGTGCTGCTCAACACTATTCAGCACCCTGCATGTGGTTTAAACCATAACAAATATAAAAATAATGTAGAAATACCTTTTTTTGCGCTGATGTTGAATTTGTGTTCTTCTGTCTTCTTCAATTTCACTAAGAGTATTTAGTATTTGCTCCTGTTCGTCATGCCACTGTTGTTCTCTTTGAAACACGAAAAGTAGGAAATGGCACAACAGATAAGTAGTTTTCCTGGACAGTCAGGAAAAAAGTGTGGTAAAAAAGCTTATAGAATTCTGAAGTTTAAATTATTGTACTACCTTTTCAGTTCTTCTTCCAGTTGTTTATTCTTTGACTGAACTGTTGACAGCACCATTTCAAGATCATCTTTTACTTTCTTCAACTATAAAAAAGTAAAAATAAACCTACAGTTTCCAGATAGTCCAGTCTGTGGTATTTGTTCTATGTAAAGTAACATCTGCAAATCTGGTAAAGAGGACAAAATTATCTGCAATTTCCTAAGAAATATAACCATAGAGTGACATGTTATTTTTAAATCCAGTTGAAGCTATTTACAATGTTACTGTGAGCAGTTGTTCTTTATTGTCTTACTGAAGCTCTGTAAAACACATAGTTGATTTTACCTTAAACAGATTATGGAGTACACATGAACTGCTCATCTGATGAAAGACTGAGGAGGAAGCATCTACAGCACCAGGGCTGCATTGTCTACATTATTGCAGCTGATTGCAAGAATGAATCCATGCTAATTGCACCAACATAAAATATATAGCACTCAGAAAACAAAGATGCTGCAAAGAAAGACTAATTGCATCCATTATTTAAATGGTTGGCAGTGATATGGACATATCTGGGAGAGGAAACAGGGAGAAATAAAACTACTGCAGCTAGAAGCTATATGTGCTGCTAAAGATATGGAACAATGGACTCTCAGTGGACTGGGTCTGTTAATGCATTATGTTCTACAAAGTAGTACTAATAGTTTCTGGGTTTTTTTAATACAAACCTATGATTCAAATGTATTTTGCCTCCTACTATACAAACTATAAGAACTTCTATATTTAGTTCAAAGATATTAAAATTGTGAAAATATTCTACAGAAGCAAACATGCTCCATATATGCAACAGCTGAAAAAAAATTGGAATCCTAAACAATCCACAAAATGGGATATCAGATCAGACATGCCATAGCAATACAGTCAGATGAAAGTGTGCAATCAAACAACTTGTTAATAGTGACCCTTAAGCAGTTGGGTTCCCTGTTGTGAGTGATAGTAGTGGGAGGAAAGCTGCTAGGAAGAAGAAAATAAAAACGTTTGGGTTTTTTTTAAGCCACACCAACAGGAATATTCTCAGGTCATGGTACATAAAAATGTTCAATCAATATAGTGTACTGGTACCCCAAGACATTTGCTCTTTCTTCCAAGACTGGAAGAACTCAACAAATTATTTGCAAATTATTGACACAGAAGTCTAGATCTAAGAATACCGACTCTTCTGTGTAACACATAATGTTACATTATTTTATATCAAGTATGAAATGCAATACATAAAAATGTATTGTTTAAAAGATCATTCATTGTAACCAGGAAATTTCAGTAGTTATAATACAGGAGAAATAAAACATTAGAATAACAACAGTGCCTGAATAAATATGCACAGTATTTTAGCAGTAATTCACCATAGGGGTAGTCATAGGAAAATGCAGCAATTGTATAAACTTTTTAAATTTTTTTCAACAAAATTTTATTATCCCTTAACAAACAAAAAGACTTACCTCTTCTTTTCCTAATGCTACCAGTACATCTGGATTGGTAGAAATTACTGAAAAAATAAAAAGAATTGTATTTTTTGTATTGGACGATATAAACTTGTTTATATTGAAAAGCTGCCTGGCTAGAGAGAAACTTGTGTAGCCTCTAAAAAACTAGTTTGGCTGTCTGCAGCAGCTTAACCATATTTTATGGTGTCCTGCTTAACCCACTGTCACTTTTCAACAAGTTAAATTAGACTGAAAAATGTACGGTGTTAATGCTTCTACATTACTTTTTATATCTGAGCTAGCTTGGGTATATTGGTATAGATACATAATATTGAAATGTGAAGTACATACTTCAAGATAAGTAAGACTGATTTTTTTCAGTGGAAGGGGTACATCAACCTCTACCAATGTGGGCAATCAAATTCTTCCAGTCTTCCAATTCCTTGTTAAACAGCCTCCAAAATGCTCGATCAGGACTGTAAAATCTACCAGATATAAAGAATTTAAAAAGCATATCACCATTCTCATTGTTCACAAGAACAGCTACAAGCAGGGAGATGAAAGGCCCAGCAAGGCCAATATCCTAACTCCAACCCTGACCAACAACAGAACTTAGGGCAAAGTATGGTACTACTCAGGGATGTGGTAATGTTGCCCCAGAGTACTTCTGCAAAATGCAGTGATTTATGGCTCGCTGATTTTCTGAATAAAAAGTGAATTGTTGTATTTGATAACCTTCAATGGGCTCCAATAAATTCTCAGTTGCATGTCAACTTGCAGCATCTGCATAAACATTTGAAAAGGTTTTAAAAAAAAAATTTGAAAACTTTTGAAAAAGTGAAGCATTTGAATCTATTAACAAGAGAAATTAAAGCTACTCTATCAGATTTAAATCTTAAAATGACAGGGATATTTTTTGTCCAAGCTTAGGATCCAAATCTCAAATCTTAAAAATAATTAATTCAATAAAAGCTTTTCCTTTAACAAAAAGGAAAAACCTTAACTCTCTTATAAAAGCATTAAATATGTCCTAAGTACAATACAGTTGATTTCATAAATTTATAAAAGTGCTTTTTTTGGTAAAGTAATTTATAGCTTTTACTTCCACAAATTTTGAGAAGCCTTGGACTAGTAGTTTTAAAAGCAGTGTATGTTCTGAGATGAAAATCAGCAAAGCCACCACGTTCAAAATTAATTAAATGACATGTCACAATAAAAACCCTTTTACTTGGAGAATTACTGTCCCTATATCTTGACACAAAGTTTGAGTAGAGTGCTCCCAAATCAAGCTTATGTTTAAGAGCTGTATTAGAGCAAGATTTTTTTAATGACATGAATATGCTACATACATGATAGAATTGGTGTGCTTTTACTTATATTCTTTGGCATATTTGAAGAAACCCATATAGCTCTTCCCCTCTCCACCTCCCTGATTATTGTGAGCCCTCACTACTTGGATTTATCAATTCCTACTATTGGTTTCTAACAGTTCCTCATTTTTAGACACCTAATCCTGAGTATGTGCTTGCCATTCAATATTCATATTGCGAGCATATCAGAATAGAAGGCCACATCTTCCTAGGAAAGAAATCACTAACCCTAATTTAGTGAAGGAACAGTGCAGATCTAAGACACAGTGACAACACATTTATGGCAGCTGCTGCTGTATAGAACACAGATTGCTCCATCTACTATCAGTTAAAGCTTCTTCAGCTATGAATCACTACACTTGCAAAATTTAAATGTCAGAACTGACTACTGATACCTAGTACAATTACTAAGCAAAATACTAGCAGATGCTAGGAATGTAAAAGCAACTACTATGCACATGTTTATACAGAAACTCCTATTAAAATAAGAGGAATTTGGCAGAATACTGATATTTTGCAAAGAAAAATAGAAATTATGCAGCGACCACGAATGTTTTATATGGTTTAAAATATAGTTGCTTTCCACTTCCTTATTTTGAAAATGTAAAAATTAAATTCTATTTTTATGAGCAAAACACTCATTAAAAAGTTTTAATTCAGCTGATTTTGAAGCTCTAGAGCTACATAAATAGTACCAGAAATTGAAGAAGAACAAGAGACTGAAGTAAAAGCTTTGCAAAAATAAAATTTGCATTGTGGATTCAAGTCTGTTTGCCAATATTGTGCCCAAAGAAATGTAGAACTGCCAAGTTATAACCTCTGAAAATAAGGTTTAAAATTTAAATGCTGACAGCCCCTCATTTACAAGAAATGAACTGACTATTACTAGGAGCAGAAACTGAAGTAAGAAGACAACCCAACTTTCATACTCTATTAGTAAATGGTATGAAATTAGCATTTCTGCTATTCCTGTTTGGATAAATTCAGACAATGTTTTAAATTAAGTAATTCCTCCTTCAAAATAAACAGTAGGTAGAAAGGAGCCAAGTTTGACAGAGAAGATGTAAGCACTGTAGACTCTTCATTTTCATATAAGCACTATAACTCTATTCACATTCTTAGCAGCAGCTTCTTTGTTCTTCTGTCAGAAAGGTAGCCAAAGGAAAGCTTTGGCTGCAAAATTTTATTTGCATTATAATATACATAGATCATTTCTCTAGTACAAAATTAAGATTTCTAATAATAAATCTTCTCACCTGGGAACAAGTAAGAATGGTTGAGCAAAGCAAGTCAGCAAGCCAATAAAAATAGGTCAAATCCCAGGAATATTTTTAAGCAAATAGATTAAAGTTTAAAATAATTACATATTTCAGTAAGGAAACCTAATGTCTTCAGGTATTTTACCCAAATAAAAACTTCAAGTGCTTTCAATTAATTTGCTTTAAGCCAGCAGTTTATTCATGAGCAGTAGCCAAGAACCAGTATTTCCCAAATTCATTGTCATACTTTTGTCTACATACCTCTAAGAAGCATTTGAGACTGACCACTCTTAGAAATAGGGTTGCAAAACAAACAAACTATGGATTTATTCCAATAAAGCAACAATATCTATTTATAAGAAGGAAGAATTTATTTCTCCAGCTCCTATTATTTGATCATGATGTGCAGCAAGTACATGAACTTAGAAGCTGGAGAAGTGACTTTACTGTTTATTTGAAAATAGATTCCAGTTTGGCCAAATTACACAATATTGGAAATCACAGTTTGCTTTCTAAACCACATTCCTATCATTTTGTAAACAGTAACAAAACCCCCAGGCCTCTTCCAGAATAAAAATATTCAAATGAGTCAATGTATTCATTTAATGATTAACTAATAAATTTTACTGGGTTGAAAGGTGCTAATGGGTCCCTGACAGTAGACATAACAGTGAGTGCTACCAGAATACTAATGATAGCGTAGTGTGAACTGTTTTAGGGGTCTCCAAATGGGACATCTGAAAAAACAGATTACTTTACTCACACTTAGATTCTGATTGGTTTTATTTTCAGTGACTAGCCATATCAACCTTGCAAGAGAGTGAAATCAGTCAGCACTGATGCCTATGTACAAAAAGATTTTTGAAGAACTGAGGAATTTACACCTTTTGGCTTGTAATGCCTAACAAATAGAAGGGCTGCCACTTGTCTCAGCGGTTTGTGCTTCTCTGGATCAGCAAAGGAACTGGATTCCTGTGTTGTTAAAATAAAATGAAGTGCCTTTTACCACCTTTTCTTGACCTGAAATCTCTGACCCTTGTTAAATCCAAGGTAGAATATTTTGTAATGGGCTGACCACTAAAGCTTTACTTCAGAGTTTCAGCTAGTATATCATAATACGTCACACTTTTGTGTTGTATGTATAAAAAAATATTACTCAAAGGGGGCCTACAGGAAAAATGGAGAAGGACTCTTTATCAGGGAGGGTATTGATGGGATGAGGGGTAATGGTTTTAAACTGAAAGAAGGTAGATTTAGAGTAGATATAAGGAAGAAATTCTTTACTGTGAGGGTAGTGAGACCCTGTATATAAAAAAGAAATCAAAGGAGGTATGGTTAAAAATATATCTGGGTAAATTATTGTTGGTTTATTAGCAATACTTGCAAAGATAAAAAAAATATCAGCCTCTTAAAAGACAAAATGAAGACAAAATGAAGATAAAATGATTTGACAAATTAGCTCTGTCCTAAAAAGTAAATACAAATGAAAGATGGTGAAGAAACTATCACAGAAAGGAGAAATTTGAAGGAGGGTTACAGCATAATGAACTTCTGCTATTTTGTTAGGAGATCTACTAGCAGTTATTTTTCCATTTAACTGACTGATGGTGATATGAATCATGCATTTATTTGTCCAGAACCATAAGATTAATTTATAGTAGAATTCACTTTGAATTCTAAGTTCAGTTAGAACTGAAATATAGAAATGAAACATACACGTTACTGCGGGAAATATTTAATTTAATTTTTAAGTCATTATAGTGTGAAAATACAATCAGCAGACATTCAATATATACACAGTTTAAGATGCCTAGGTGAAAGAGACTTTGCAGAAGCTTATGTGAGTATACCTTACATGGAAGCAATTACTTACTTTCAGGACTTCTATTTTGCCACTGATTACATTCTTCTGTTAAAGCTTTCATTTGCACCTTCCTTAATTGGAGGGAAATCTGTGTAACAAGAAAACAAGCATCTCTTGAAATGTGTTGAATTGCATTGGAGTAAACCGAGATTGAATGAGACAGAAATTCAATTATTAAGTTTATAAGCTCGGGAAGGGCTGCAGCCGTGGGAGAGAATCCAGTCGGAGGAAGTTAGTGACCCATGACGGAGCAGTGTGGGGAACGCTGCGGCCCATGGGAGGAACTCATGTCGGAGAAAGTTTGTGGAGGACTGTCTCCTGTGAGAGGGGGACCACGATGGAGCAGGGGGAACAAGTTCCGGAAACTCCCCTCACCAATGATAAGGGAAGTGGCAGCACTGACTGCACCCCCCATTCCCTGCCCTTGTGCTACTGGGGGAGGAGGTAGAGATATTGGGAGCAGAGCTGAGCCCGGGAAGAAGGGAGGGGTGGGGGGAAGGTGTTCTCAAGATGTGGCAATGCTTCTCACTGTCCTACTCTGTTATGTGTTGTTAGTGTCTGTAATAAATGTATGTTCTTTTTTTCTTCCCCTAACGAGTCTGCCTTTTGCTCGTGATCATAAAAGGGGGATTTTTCCCCATCCCAGTCCTATCTCTAACCCCAAACCTGGCTCTCTGTCCCTTCTCATTGCCGGAGGGGAAGAGAGAGAGCTGCTGCGTTGTGTTTGGCTGCCAACCAGGCCTAAACCACGACAAGAAGCTGTGGCTGCCCCCTCCCTGGAAGCGTTCAAGGCCAGGTTGGATGGGGCTTTGAATGACCCAATCTAGTGGAAGGTGGGTTGGAACTAGATGATCTTTTAAGATTCCTTCCAACCCAAACCATTCTAGGATTCTATGAAATACATACATCAGATGTCTCTCTCTCATATCTCATATACATTCCTAGCAAAATATGCTGCTCAGTTAGTAATCCATTACATCATAGACCAGAATCAGTCCCCAAACTTAAAGGATAAAAAAGCATAGAGAATACATTTCAAGATTACAGTCTTGAGGTAATTAAGGAATGAACATTAGTGATAAGGTCAACAGCAAGGAAGAAAACCATAGCTTCTTTGTCAACTACAATGAAAACAGAATTGCTCCAGCTGGAAGGTCCTACAGCAATTATCTAGTCCAATTGCCTGACCACTTGAGGGCTGACCTGAAGTTAAAGCATGTTATTGAGGGCATTGTTCAAATGCCCCTTGAACACTCAGTCTTGAAGCATCGACCACCTCTCTAGGAAGCCTGTTCCAGTGTTCCACCACCCTCTTGGTAAAAAAATGTTTCCTAGCATCAAGTTTGAATCTCCCCTGATGCAGCTTTGAACCACTCTAATGTGTTCTGTGACTGGGTAGCAGGCAGAAGAGATCACCAACTCCCTCTCATTTTTCCATTCGCAGGAAGCCGCAGAGAGCAATGAGGTCACCCCCCAGCTTCCTTCTCTCCAAAACAGACAATCCCAAAGTCCTCAGCCACTCCTCACAAGACATGCCTTCCAGCCCTTTCACGTTTTGTTGTCCTTCTCTGGATACATTCAAGGTCCTTCACATCATTCCTGAATTGTGAGGCCTAGCATTGCACACAGGACTCAGGGTGAGGCCGCACCAACACTGAATACAGCTGGATAATCACTGTTTTTGCCCTGCTGGTTATGCTGTGTTGGATGCACCCCAGGGTGTTGTTTGCCCTCTTGGCTGACAGGGTGCACTGCTGCCTCACATTGAGTTTAGCATCACACCAGCCCCTCCAGATCCCCTTGTGCAGGGCTGCTCTCCAGCCACTCCTCTCCCAGTTCCTACTTGTGCCTGGTGTTATTCCATCCTAAGTGCAGAATCTAATATTTGTTCTTGTTAAATGTCATGCCATTGATGACTGCCCAATGCTGTTATCTACCTAGATGCCTCTGCAAGGTCTCTCGTCCCTTGAGAGTCAACAGTACCTCCCAGTTTGGTATCATCAGCAAACCTGCTCATGGTGCATTTAACTGCTGCATCTGCATCGTTGATAGAAATATTGAACAGAACTGGCCCTAGAATTAAGGAGTGAGGAACACCGCTAGTAACCTGTTGCCAGCCAGATGTAGCCCCATTCACTACAACCCCCTGAGCTCTGCTTGTCATCCAGTTCTTTGCCCAGCATGCTGTGTGCCTGTTCACAGTTGCACAACTTGTACAGGAGGATGCTGTGAGGGACAGTATCAAAAGACCTACTAGAATCCAGAAAAATGACATCGACTGCCTTTCCCTTGCTCCACTGGCTGGGTGATCTTGTCATAAAAGGGTATCAAATCAGTTAAACATAACTTTCCCTTTGTGAATCCTTGTTGACTGTGCCAGGTAATTGCACTGTTCTTTAAATGTCTTTCAATAGCAACCAGTATGATCTTCTCCACAGTTTTTCCAGGTACTGAGTTAGATTAACAGGTCTGTAGTTTCCTGGGTCAATACAGGTATCTATGTTAGGGTTGCAATAAGATCCCATGAAAGTTGCTGACAGAGGATATAACATGACCTTTTCTACCACGCCGTATTTTCTATCATGAAGTGCAATCTTAATTTAATCTTCATTTTTGCAACTCCATTTAATCATTGCCTTGTTATAAGTTTTCAAGAAAAACATCTCTGAAGTTTAAATATTAATCACAAGGGTATGATTTGCTTCAATGAAGTTGCAAAGAATCATAAAAACCTCAGTCTACTCTCAATTAAAATTACAAAAAATTTATTTCTACTTGTAGGATTTTATCCAGTCCTAAAAGGAGAAAAATATTGTATTTTATGCATTTGAATATGCATATTCATTTATTTATTCTGATTAAATAATAGTTTAGAAGATTGTCTATTACTAGCAAGAGATTTATGTTAATAAATACACAGTGATTAAACATCTGAACATATTTGACAGATACATCTCTGAAGAGAAGTGCTCTTTTCGTTAATTATTCAGTCAAGTGTATTGAATTAACCATCTGAATACTCTTACTGAAGTCATATAAGATGGATATGTATAAGACCTACATATTTCACACAACCAGCCCAAATTTTAACTATTTTATGGTTCCCAAATTTGGGGTCCTCATATAAATTCTACTCCAAAGGTTCCTATTTAGAGTTTATAAACAACTAAACAGTAGCCAGCATTGTGTTTTTACATGTTCCCCAAAATCTGAGGGATACAGGAGCTCACATTCATGCACTCAGCAGCAATCACTTCATTTATAATTCAAGAATATCAGTTTCCTAATGATATCCACAAATGGTGAACCGTAATTCACAAACACAGCATTCCAGAGTAAAACTAAAGGGATCCATACAGAGTTTCACAAATTGTATATATACACCAGTTAGGAAATAGTCTAAATCGGTATTGAAGTTATACAGCCCTTCATTTTGCTGCCTGTTTGTCATTTATCAGTTGTATGGCAGGAATGCACGTAAACCTTTTTGCTATAAAAAAATGCAACTTTTCAGGATTTGCTAGACATGTGCTCCAGAATACAGCTTCAAAGTTAAGAGTAAAGCTGTCAGCTTTAGAGAATAAGTGAAGACAATTCAGTTTCCTTCTTTTGGAAACACACCATATCTTTACAAAAAACTAAATATTTCATGGAGAATAAAAAAAAATAAAATACTGTCTTACCCTTTCATCCGATTTTAGAGGTGTTTTCATACGTAGACACGTTAGCTTCTTCTGACACTTGGTGGAAAACAAACAATGTTTACTTATTCTTGCCTTTTCTAAGAAACACAATGCTTAGAAATTCCAACAAAAGCTGTTTAATATAGGAAAATAGTTTTATATTGGTTCCTACTACATCCCTTGACCCACAAGAGCAAATTAAGAAATATTTTAAAATCATACCACAGTAAAACTTCAATTAATTGAAGAGCAGAAAAATAGTAGATAACAAAAGATGTATGATTTGAGGAAAAAAGGTATGTTATGAGGGAAAAGCTGACATGGGGAAAGACTGAACAGATGAAAAACATGAGAAACTGAGAAGAGAGTCATGGACAAGGCTGAATAGGGAAGCTGCCGAAAAGTTAACATGCTTGCTGCTACTACTATGGCTCTGCAAACAGAGCAATCACATGATAATACACATTTTTAGTTTTAACTCACTTAGGGCAATATACCGTGTACTTAAGAACTGGTCTGATTTTTAGACTTGCAGTACATCAGCTCCCATTATTGCAATGGGATGTATATCAGGTCTGAAATTCATGCCGTCACAGATATCCAAAGCTTCATCTGGAGACACCTGCTAAATTCCTCCTTGTTGTCCTAAATTCCTCCATGATGGGGCAGGATGTATTCTAAGCAGTAAAGCTACTAAGCAGTAATTTGGAAATGTTGCTGTTAATGTTTTAGAACCAAAACACAATATAGGATTTCTCCAATAAAAACTGCTAATATTGACACACAATCATTGTAACATCATAAACCGTATAATCTAGGAGCTAATTCAATGACGATTAGTTCTTTTAACTTTTTTTGCTGAAATATGCATGCATCCAAGATGCAACAGTCACAAAGTGGTAAAAAGCCTACTGTTTTTACCAGCTTCCAAAAATAACACACATTATCACTTCCTGTATTGTTTTGGGGATGAATTTTGGGGATGCTGGGAATGAGATACAGGATGTCAAAGATTTTCAATTAAATTCAAAATAAACACTCTAATTTCCATTCTAATTTGAAAATTTCAAAGAAATTATGGTGCCAAAAAACCCTTCTCTTGATAACTTATTGTCCTGTTTTGGTCTGGAATAGAGTTAATGTTTCTTTTTGGCAACTAGAACAGTGCTGTGCTTTGGATTCAGCATGGGGTTCGGTATGAGAAGAATGCTGATAGCACACTGATGTTCTTGGCTGCTACTGAGATTTCAAGGACTCCCCAAATCCCCATGTCCTGCCTGTGCGCAAAGGCACAAGAAGCAGGGAGTAAAGTCATATAATGTCATGCTCACTGTATAGAGGAGGGGTGGTCGGGAAGGGGCTCTCTCTCTCTCTCTCTCTCTCTCTCTCTCTCTCTCTCTCTCTCTCTCTCTCTCTCTCTCTCTCACTTCCGGGATCGCGATTGTGGGATCTTGGTGTCTCGGGGTCGCTGGCCGGGAACGGGCTGGGGATTGGTCAGCGGGTGGTCAGCAATTGCATTGTGCATTGCCTGTTTATATTTTCTATTACTGTCATTGTTTTCATTTTATTACCATTATTAAACTGTTTCTATCTCAACTTGTGAGTGTCCCTTTACTCCTCCAATTCCCTCCCCCATTCCCAGGTTGGGGGGGAGGGTGGGTGAGTGGCCGTGGGGTGTTTGGCTGCCGACCAGGCTCAAATCACGACACTTATTACAGTGCTTCAGAAACTGCATTCCCTGCCACTTACTGAACATTAAGATAAGTTTACATGTAACAACAAATAAAATCACATTAGTGTTTTAAAATCTAATTCCACAGAATTATTGCACTATGGGTTGTCTATACTATGTTCTACTTCAAGTTTGAAAGTATTTTTACTTCAGTTTGATACTTTTAATGCTTTGAATCTACAACTCAGAATTCAAGCAAACAGCATGTAACTACCACATAAAATTGAGTGAAGCAATCAAGACTCTCAAAATAAAAATTTACGTGAGTTTTCAACAGACTCAGCAAAATCTTATACAATGCATAGCATTCCCTCAGAACCGTTCAAAGTTTGTCTTTCCTAGAATTCCTGTAAATAAACTCACTCTAAAACATTATTACTAGCAATTTGGACCATATATATAGAGAGATAAACTTTATTCTTAAGGATGTAACAGTCAGTTTGCATGAGCATATGCTAAAATCATCATTCTTCTAAGATTCTTTCTCCTCTCATTCTCTCTCCTTGAAAATCTAAAGTACTTGTGGACAGCAGCTGAATCCCATTGTCCTGTGTTTGAGTGAGTGGTGGAGGTTTTGGCAGCAGGGGAAGGGGCTATAGGGGCGGCCCCCTGTGAGAAGCTTCTTGAAGCTCCCCCAGCTCCAAGTCAGACCCATCTCTGCACCAAAACTGAGCCAATCAGCTGCGCCTCTGCGATAACGTATTTAAGAAGGGACGTGGTGATGGGCAGTGGGACTTGTGAGGAGGAGTTGCTGCAGCTGCGTGAACACCAAGGTCAGTGGAGGAACGGAGGAAGAAAGGAGGGGGGAGGTGTGCTGGAGCAGAGACCCCCCTGTATCCTGTGGGGAGACAGAAGAGTGCCCCCCCCCTCAACACCCATGAAGATCTACGGTGGAGCAGACAGTGATTTATGGCCTGTGGTTTTCATGTAGTTGATCAAGATGACTGTGCCCAAAGAAGGCTGGAGCCTTGTGGGAAAAGGTAGCCCCCACTATTGTAGTTCAGCGCTGGGAGGATTGCAGCAAGTGGGGGTGTCCCACGCCAGAGCAGCTTGGGAAGGGCTGCAGCCCGTGGGAGAGAATCCAGTTGGACAAAGTTGGTGTCCCACTCTAAAGCAGTGTAAGGAAATGCTGCGGCCTGTGGGAGGGACTCACACCAGAGAAAGTTTGTGGAGGACTGTCTCCTGTGAAAGGGGGAGCACAATGGAGCAGGAGAAACAAGTTCCAGAAGCTCCCGCCACCGAAGATGGAGGCAGCGGCAGCACTGACTGCACCCCCCATTCCCTGCCCCTGCGCCACTGGGAGGAGGCGGTAGAGATATTGGGAGCAGAGCTGAGTCCGGGAAGAAGGGAGGGGTGGGGGGAAGGTGTTCTCAAGATGTGGCAATGCTTCTTACTGTCCTACTCTGTTATGTGTTGTTGTTAGTGTCTGTAATAAATATATGTTCTTTTTTTCTTCCCCTAACGAGTCTGCCTTTTGCTCGTGACCATAATGGGTGACCTACCCCTCCCAGTCCTATCTTGAACCCCAAGCCTGGCTCATCTGTCCCTTCTCATTGTCGGAAGAGAAAGAGGAGAGAGTGGTTGCGTGGTGTTTGTCTGCTGACCAGTCTCAAACCATGACACCCATCTTGCATGAGGCTAAAGAGAGAAGAACCTCAAGTCTCAGTTGTGCTGGTAGTAACAGAACACAAGTAAATTGTTTAATTTTCTCTAGTTTTAACATACACTCTCATTCTGTTTAACTAAATCATAACATCAGCACACTCTAAACAAAGTTTGACACTGCAAGGCATTCTTCATCCCTGCCAGCACTACTTCTTTGCCAGACCCTGTGTCAGGCACCTAAAAAGTGATGCCACGGAGCACCACCAGAGAGCAGACGAGAGCGCAGGCCATGTCGAGTTGGAGAGTGGAGCCAAGTCTGGAGCCACCATGGTAATGAGTGAGAAGGGGGCAGCCGCCAGCCACTGCCCCATGGGCTGCCCAGCTGCCTCTCTTTAGCCTCACGCAAGATGGGATTCAACTGCTGTCCACAAGTACTTTAGATCTTCAAGGAGAGAGAGAATGGGAGGAGAAAGAATCTTAGAAGAATGACAATGTTAGCATATGCTCATGCAAACTGACAGTTACATCCTCAAAGATACATTTTCTTCTGCCTTTTTTTCCTCTCTTATTTTGTTGCGGTGGTTTCTTTGGAGGCAGCAAGGTAAGCATGCAGTAAAGGATGGGGAAATGAACAAAAAAGTGCCAAGGAAAGTTTACAGCAAGTCTAGTCTACCACTTGTGATTTGCATACCTCTTCCATCTGATTCCAAATACTTTCACATTCATCCATGAGTTCTTCCTTGGCCTCTACAGAGTCATTCGTGCTTTCTGGTAAACTTTCAGCCTATTAAAAAGCAAACAGAACCATTATCGTGTAGATCTACAATAATTATTAACAGGTTACTGAATTGTACCTGCTACTTTAGGTCAAATATGTAACAGAGCAATCCTGCTGAATCCAAAGCTTTCAGTTAACTCCCCTATATTTCTAGAGAGTACCCGATCATTCAGTAAAATCAGCTAACCACACTACTATGATAAAATTTGAAGACATGTTTCTTAAAATTGAATAATAAGTTCTAATTTTTCAACACTGCTTTGATTATCTGCAATGTATTTTTGGTTTTTGGTGTTTTTTTGGAAAACTTCAATAAGGACAGAATAAAAGAATCTCACATCTACAAAGCCATGTTTTTCTTCCATATATCTGCAAAGTTCTGAAGCAGTTACTTCTACTCTGTGTTCTAATAAATGTCCTCAACTATTCCTCCTTATGACAACTTTAATTTGTTCATCAAGAAGATTCTGAATTCAAGTGTTTGGAGGTTACTAGGAAAACAAACAAAAGAACATGAAAGATAGGCAGGCAACCAAGAAAACAGGGCACCAGGACAGTGAAGAGAAAAAAAATCAACCCAAGTTAAATTAAAAAGTTCTAGGAAGTGTTGGGTCAGATAGAAACACATAAAAATTCATAATTTTAATCATAGTTAAATATAGAAAGAGATAGATGAACAACAGCAATTAAGAGGAGAAAACCAAGAAGGGCCAGAATAGCACCCAAAGGGAATTTTTTTTAATGTAAAACAACCAAGTGGAATTTCCTAGATGTACAAAGGAAGCCTTTAAAAATACTGCAGTGAATCACTAAGCCTACCAAATACTTAGAGATTAAAAAGAAACATTAAAAGAGATAAAGATCTAAAGAAGAAATAAACATATCTGCTTTCTTAATGGTGCACAAATTCCTAACTCAACCTTTTGTTCTTTTCCAGAACAAAAAAGCAGCATTGATTATGCTAAAAACTTGAATACTTTAAAAGGAGTGAAATATTCAACTAGTACCTCCAAAGTTCAAGTATGCCATAGCAGAGTAGCCAAAAAAAAAAAAAAATTAGAATGTCTCACTGAACACTGGAAGTATTCTAGGGAACTGAAAGGTAGCAATACTTCTACTAAGCTTCCTGGGAAATCTGTTGCATCAATAATTAAAAACAGAACATTAGCAAGACCTGGATTGCCATGATGTGATAAGGTCTAAAGAGCACAGTTTTTGCAAAGGAAAATCATCATTTTAAGGGTCTTGGAATGTCTCCATAACATAAGAGAAGTAGCTCACATAATTTATTGATTTCTGAAATGCCTTCAGTGAAGTCCCCCACAAAAGGCTAATAAAGAAACTAAGCAGTCTTGAGATAAAATGCACTTTTTTTCTCAGACCAAAAACTGCCAAGGAGACAAACAACAAAAAAACCCAAACAGATAATTTTAATCATGGCAAAAAGGCTTAGCAGCAGAGCTAAGACGGCTTGAATAAAAAGAAAAAAAAAAAAAAAGATATAACCTTTGGAAACTTAAAAGGGGTTTGGGGTGGGAATAAAACGTCCTATCCCCCTGTGTCCCCCAATAATACAATCCATCAACATGAAAACAAAACAAACCCCAAAATGTTTAAATGGTTATTATTGTCGACCTTCAAAACTTCCAGGATTGATTCCATGCAAAGTTTCAAAAGATATATATTATGAGGAGATACTACAGGACTCTGTAGTGCAAGCAAAACTGACTTACAGTCCCTAATACTGTGCTGTTAATTACCTTATAAAGTATATACATCCAAGTGTCATCTTCAGATGCTTTTCCTTGCAGCTTGCAGTTTTTCCTATTTTTGTATGGTAAATTAGGTTTCTATTCTTACACCACACCAAAAAACTGAAGGATTCTTTTTGCATGTCACTAATATTAATACATTCCAATTTCAACATTATTCCTTCTTACCTCATTTTAGAGCTATATAATTAGGTAAAAAACACATGCAGGGACAAGTGTGCATTGTAGGCTCTCTGCAAGCCAAGCAAATTGCCAAGCTTTCTGGGAAGTGTTTCATGTTGACAAATACAAAAGGACCAACTACTGGAAGAAATTCAGAGATGAGAAGGAAAACTAACAATAGAAAAAACTACTGGGAATACTGATGGGGAGAAGGACAAAAACAAACAAACAAACAAAAAAAAAAAAAAAAAAAACCCAAACAAAAACAAACAAACAACCCGGGAGTTCGCCTTAGAAAGGAGAATAAAAGCATTACACAAGTAACAGCACAAAAGAGGTTAGGCAGGGCGCTTGCATCGCCCCTGACATAAACCCCAGCACTACACCATGCGGGAGGAGGTTAGCCTCCGCAAGCCAGGGCTGAACGCAGCCGTTCCCCACACGCCAACGGCCGGGCGCGGCGGCCGGGGCCAGCCCGCTCCCTTCCCAGCGGCGCCACGGCCCTGACCACCGCGCACCCCGCCGGAAGCGCCGCGCCTGCCCCGGCTCCAGCGCCGAGGAGCCGCTGCGCTCCGCTCGCCCGCCGAAAACCGGCGGCCCCCACAGCCCCGCGGCCATTACCATGGCGGCTCCGCAGATCGTTACCCTCCGTCTTCCGTCCGGCCCGCGCTCCCCTCTGCCCGCGCTCAGCGCTCACTGGCTGCGTCCCGTGGCGTCACTTCTGACGCGCCCGGCAGTGGAAGACGGGAAGCGTCGCGGACAAGTGACGTGAAGCATCATGGCGTCGCCCGAACTGGAGCGCAAGCGAAAGCAGCCCGAGGCGACGGGCGGCAGCGAGGAGGTGGCGGCGGCGGCGGCAGACGAGGAGGATGACGAGGAGGAGCGCTGGGTTGGGCCGCTCCCGGGGGAAGCTGCGCAGGCGAAAAAGAGGAGAGGTAACGGCGGGAAGCGGCCCGCGAAGCCTCCGCGGCGCTGCCCCCGGGCCAGGTCCGGAGCGGTGGGGTCGCCGCGGGGAACGCGGCCCCGGGTCGGGGGTGCCGGCAGCTGCGCCGTGAGGTGAGATGAGGGGCGGGGGGGGGGTGGAACGGGCCAGCGGAAGCCCGTTGCCTGAATCGGTGGCTTGTGCGTAAAATGGCCTGACCGCGGAGCGACCCCTCGGGTGCGCGGCTCTAGGCCCGGGATGCCGAACTTCTGCTCCCTCTGGAGGACGCCCCTAGGCTGGGGCGCCCGGCCTTGCTGAACCCGACGGGCTGCTTACAGCTGTGGCGTTACGGCCCGCCGGGACGCAGCCCTGGGCTGGAGGAGCAGGAGGAGCCTCTAGGTTGTATTCAGGCGCATGACTTTTATTCGTCTGGTAACTCAGCTCTCGGGGTATCATTCTGATGTAAATGTGTGTTTAGCGATGCTCAGCAGAGATAAACCTGCTGGTTCAGTAGTAAATGCCGTTGTGCATTAAGGTTAGGATGTAAGAATCAGAGGCAAAAGCAGAAAGTTAGACCATTTTAGGTGGGCCAGTTAAACAATGATCTAGGTACGTGCTAGCACTTAGAATTTAAGCTGTGGTACCTGTATGGGACATTGAATCTCTTAACAACAGCAGGGATACATGTGGTTTTGGAAGAAAATGAGATGTTTCCTAGCAGTATCCTGGCTTTGGCTGGGATAGAGTTAATTTTTCTTCTTAGTAGCTAGAACAGTGCCGTGCTTTGGATTCAGTATGGGATTTGGTATGAGAAGGATGCTGATAATAATACACTGATATTTTCAGTTGGCACTAAGAGATCAAGGACTCCCTCACTCCCCATATCCTGCCCATGTGCAGGTGCACAAAGAGCTGGAGGGGGAGCGTAACCAGAGCACCGGACCCAAATTGGGCAATGAAATATTCCATATCATGTAATGTCCTGCTCAGTATTTAAAGGAGGATCAGCCGGGAAGGGAGGGCCTCTCTCTCTCTTCTGGGATTGCGACTGTGGGATCTTGGTGTTTTGGGATCACTACCCAGGAATGACCTGGGCATTAGTCAGTGGGTGGTGCACAGTCTCATTGGGCCTTGCCTGTCTGTACTTTCTACTATTATTGTTTTATCTTATTACAATTATTAAATGTTTTTTTATCTCAGCCTATGAATCTCCCTTTACACCTCCAATTCCCTCCTCCATCCCCCAGGTGGTGCGAGGGTGACCGAGCAACTGTGTGGTGTTTGGCTGCTGGTTGGGTTCCAACCACGACAGGCAGTAACTTAAAAATTGTCATATTGAATTTTTTTGTATACATTCAGACAGCCAAGGTAATGGTTGCTTTAAAAGGAAGCATCTCTATGGGTTAAAGCAGAGTTTGAGTGTGTTCAGTCTACCAAGAATATGTTAGCTATGTACAAAGCCACAGTGGAAACCTCTTTTATTATGCTTGCACAAAATCCTAGTATAGTCTTGACTAACATGACAGTAAGGTGTTCAAGAGTAAGTAAGGGAGAACAGAAGCTACACATACCGTCTATGGAAAGAAAAATATGCTGATTTTTCTTTTTATTATTTATTTATCTTTAGTTCTTGAATTTGAACATGTTTATCTTGAAAATCTACCATGTGCTTCGATGTATGAACGCAGTTACATGCACAGAGATGTCATTACACATGTAGCATGTACTAAGTAAGTGTCTTTTTTTCCACTGTATGTCACTGTCAGAGATGTATTTTTGTATATGCTGGGAAATTTACATGGTGGAAGGTTAATAATGGAAAGTTACTGTTTCCAGATGTGGTATTCTAAAGAGATTTGTTTGTTTTTTTTTTTGAAAACTAAGTTCAGAGGAAAGGGCTGACTGAGAAGCAAGATAAAAATTGTTTTAATAGACTAAAAGAGGATCTTAAAATCCTTATTGTAGTGTGCAGTACATACAGGAATAAGAGCAACTGATTGAATCTGAACAAAATATGATTCAGCAGAACTTCACAGATTGAGGAGATAACTTTCTTCTCTTTTATGTATATATGTCTCTCTCTATATATACGCACATACATTAGTAGATAGTAACTACTGTGAAGCCAGGCCTAAAATAGGAGTAAAATTTACATAGTTAAAATTGATAGAATTATACAATTCTTCATTTCCGGTTGTTGACATTTTATAGGTTATTCCAGGATGCATTAATATACTTGTTTGCTTTTCTGGGAGTGATAGTACCCATTCAGAGAGTTTGTCACAGGAATTTGTTTGAAGTTCATTCTCTGCACGGCGTAAATTATAATGCAGATTACTGCCTGGTGTGAAAGTGCATGATGTGTGTATCTTTCTTTTGTTATTATTTTTCTTTTGTCATTGTAGGACAGATTTTATTATAACAGCCAGTCATGATGGACATGTAAAATTCTGGAAAAAAATAGAAGAAGGAATTGAGTTTGTTAAACACTTCCGGAGTCACCTAGGTGAGAGGTTGCTTTTTGTTTAAAGGACATCACTTTCTCCTTCCCCTTGCTCTTAGTCATTTGAGGAGGGAGTACAAATAAAGAGGAGGGGTCTTCTGGGATTCATTCACTGCAGTCTGGGATTAAATGGTATCTGCTTATCTTCCTTCACTCCCCTGTCCTGTTAATGTTTTGATCCTAAACTGCAGGAGAAGTAGGATGAGAATAAAACATGTGCGGGGACTCCTGCACGGATGCCCTACATCCTTTGCATTGCATTGTGCCCCACCTGTGGGGAAAATGTCTATGACACGAAGAAACTCTGTTTAAAAATAAGTGAACAAGGTACATAGCAGGGTACATAAAATCCACTGAAGTTTAAAAAGATGTTGCTTCAAGTGAGGTTACCTTTACCCCTTATCTTTCTCTCTTTTTTTCCGTGCAATATGGAAAAAAATGGTTATTTTCATCTGGAATTATTGCAACTGTAGAGTAAATTCTGCATCATTGTCATGATTATCGGCTGAATTGCAATTAAGAATTAATAATTTTAACACAATTTTCTGAGTTAGTAAGTACACACAGCTCCTCTGTACTATGCTAAGCATTCAATAGGCTGGACAGGAAATGAGGTTCTCATTGCTATTAGGAACAATGATATGCATGATGGAAAAAAAAAGAGTTTGATATGCAGACTATTTCAATAAGAAAAATATGTAATAATACACAGTGAAAGTACTGTTTCTCTTTGGAGTTATTAAGAAATACTATGGTGTATTCTTTATCTTAACTCTCAGCTTCTCATTATATACAGAAATAAAATGTGAAAGCAAAGCCTACCAAGCAAAAATAAATATTGTGAAAAACTCATGGGAGGCTCAGTTGCAGAGTAATTTTGAGTATTATGTGTGCTAATAGCAGAACTGTAATAGTTAACAGAGTTCTGCTGCTTTTTCTCTTTTGAGACATGCAAGCTGAAGAGCACGTAATTTTTAATGTTCTCAGTTTTTCTAAATGGACATTTAAAACGAAAATAGTTGCAATTATAATCTTTCCTTTATGCTTATGGTAAGTAGTTCATTATCATATACCTGATTCTGAACAGTGATAGGATAAAAAGTGTTTTGTGTTTTTTTGTTTTGGTTTATTTTTTATTAAAGTTGGGTATTTTTTTAAGTCAAAAAGGTGGAAAAAGGTTTAAACCTCTATAGGGTTTTTTCTGTGGAATATTGAAATTAAGGATGTCCCTTTCTTGTCTCTTAATATGTTAACTTTTTAAATAGGTGTTATTGAGAGTATTGCTGTTAGTTCGGAGGGGGCGTTATTCTGTTCAGTTGGAGATGACAAAGCAATGAAGGTCTTTGATGTAGTCAACTTTGATATGATCAACATGCTAAAACTTGGGTAAGTTACTTAGTTCTTGAAAATGTTTGTTAGGGATTATTTTGCTAAGAGCTAAGTCAAAAATTTGCTTTCTTTGAGGGATTGTTCCCCCAGTCAGATGAAGCTGAGTAAGTTGCATTATCTAAAATGCATCCAGTGACTGGAGACTGCCCAGCTGAATAATAACATTTATGACTCTGTATGGTACATGAGTGGAGTAGGTCTGTGCCTTTCCTCAGTGTCAAATATTATGCACAAAGATGTGGTGTTTCTCAAAATACTTAGCTAGGCATATTTTTTTTTTCTGTTGTTTGGCACTGAATTTAAAAATTATCACCAACTAATAGTTCCAGCAGAAACAGAATTTGACCTGTATATATTGTCTTATTTGTTGTCATAGGGATAGGAATTTCCTTCTGTTAGAAAGAATGTTGTTGTTTTCCTTAGTCTTGGTGTTGTAGGATTTCCGTAGTTATATGGTATGTAGCTAAAGAACCTGGGAGAAATAGGAATGGGTATTATTGGAATTCTAACAGTACTGGAGGAAAGCAAGCCCCACACTGTTATACGGGAAGGTTTGGAGGGTTGGAGGATCATTGAATGCTGTAGCAAGAATGGTGGAAATACTGATGTTTCCACAAGCCTTTTAGAATTGGAAAACTTATTCCTCGTAGTCTACTGCTTGTTGATTAGTTGTAAAACTGAATAGAAGCATAAACTCAAAAAGAAAAAAAAAAGGCTCTTCAGGCTGCCTGTATAAATCCTTACGTTGTCTGTTTTGCTGGTTATAGTTTTAGTATCATCCTCCAGATAATGTACTTGGCCTATAGGAATTGATTCCCCCTTGTCTGTCTGCTGTGGAAAAATTCCAGTTAGCCTTAGTCTTTCTTGGTTTTGCTAGGCTTTTTTACTTAGCAGCCCTGT